GCCCCGCGCTACTCGAAGCCATCTCACCTGAAGCTCATGCTCAAGGCTCATCACTCTCATTGGACGACTGCAAAACCAAAATACTCGGAATGCAATGGAATTTTCTCAAGGATACATTTACATCCTCATCGAAGGAGGACTCATTCTCACCCCCAACCAAGATAAGTAAACGCCTCATACTATCTCAAGTAGCACAGATATTTGATCCACTTGGTTTCCTCTCACCGGTCATAATTCGCTGTAAGATTTTATTGCAAGAATTATGGCTGCACAAACTCAACTGGGATGAATCACTACCATCCCACATCACAGCACGATGGCTCATCCTCAGAGAAGATCTCACAAGTCTGGCCAGACTCTCAATTCCACGCTGGTTCAACACCTGTCAAGACTCAGTGGTGGAAATACACGGTTTCTCTGATGCATCTCAGCTCGCCATGGCAGCCGTGATCTACATCACGGTCTTCTCACCGTCCACAAATCTCAAGGTGACGTCACAGGTGTGCGCCAAGACGAAGGTCGCACCTCTCAAGAAACTCACTATCCCGAGACTGGAGCTCACAGCAGCTCTTAAGCTTGCAAGGCTGGCAAGCTATGTTCAAGCGAAGCTCAATCTCAACATTGCTACAACTCACTTGTGGACGGATTCTCAAGTCACACTCATATGGATCAAATCTCACGCATCACGCTGGAAGGATTATGTGAGAAACAGAGTATTGGCGATACAAGAACTCACACCTGAGGCACATTGGGGGTATGTGTCTGGAACATCGAATCCAGCTGACTGCGCATCACGAGGCCTTTCAACTGCTCAGCTTGAACATCATCAGCTATGGTGGACGGGACCACCATGGTTTACTCAACCCCAGGACTCATGGCCATCACAACCGAAGCTCAAGGACGCCTCATGTGCACTAGAAGCGCGTCCAAGTATTCCTACTGCGCTCATCTCCCAAAAGATCGAGTATCAGTGGGATCTCATTCACAAATACTCAACGCTCAAGAAACTTCTCACCATCACTGCTATTTGTTTCAGATTTATAGCAAAATTAAAAGGGGTCCACTGCTCACCAGCCTATACCTCACATTTGCCGAGTGATCTGGAAGATGCTCAGAAATTCTGGATCAGGGCAACTCAGACCATCTACTTCGCTCATGAAATGAAGATGCTCACCTCACACTCATTGCTGCCTTCATCTCATGCCTTCAGTCACCTGACTGCCTTCATTGATGATAAGGGAATCATCAGAGTCGGCGGACGATTGGAAAACTCTCAGCTCCGCTACGAGGGTAAACATCCCGCTATTTTGCCTCGCCACTCACGTTTGTCTGAATTGATTATAGATCACGCTCACAAACAAACTCTTCATGGTGGAACTCAACTCACACTCGCCTACATTCGACAAACCTACTGGATCATCGGAGGAAGAGCTCCAGTCAAGGCTCATATTCTGCGGTGTTTGACGTGTGCTCGCCAAAGGGGGATCCGTGCCCATCAGCTGATGGGCCAACTACCTCTTTCTCGAGTCACACCGTCATCGCCATTCTCTCATACCGGCATGGACTATGCCGGTCCACTCACTCTCAAAACTTGGAAAGGACGAGGCGCCAAAACATCCTACCAACAGCGGAATCATCAGCCACAAGTGGCTGATGGCGGGCGGAATGTTCGAGAATTAACTCTCATTTTTAGCAACACGCACGTGCCTTGTTTCCTTTCAATGTTTCGCTCATGCCGTGGCCACCACGACGCTCATTGGCAGCACCTCTCGGGCACACTTTGTGCGCGAGCAGGATAGCTGGCCCACCTGCGCGCGCAACGATCTCGCTACCGGCCGGTCGAAACCTCGTGGTGACCACGAGCGCGGCCATTAAGCCAGTCTTGTTCGTAATCTAAAACGCGACAAGTGTGCTCTGTTTTTCAGTCTTAGTTTCCTTTGTTCTTTTGTGCCGCATATAATCTACTGTGTTCAATGTAGTTAATTCACAACTAATTATCAAGGCTCACGCTCATAAATCCCTTGCAATTAATATAATTGCAAGGGTATTATGAGTTTTAAACTCGTAATAAACGGTTGATTCTCATTCTCACTCGCGCTCAGAAATGGCGATCAATAATATCGCCATTTCTCATAACCGCTCGTGTAAAACTCTTACTTAACGTACCGCTCATTAATTATGTATTTCACAACGGGACAATGTTGTTAATAAAGACCTTGTTTAATTAACTTTGCACCATAGTCATTTTTCGCGAACCCTCTCATAACCGGCATCTCAATGAAAATCTCTACAGTTCACTTCAATCTCAAACAGTTATCTATTCGTCACTGTTGTAAGTGTAGTAGGATTATTGACGCTGATAGCCACAGAAACATTCGTAGTCATGATGTTGTTACACTGTTGCGCAATGTTTAAAATTATCGGGTAAGATGATATAGTTGTGAAATATAGTTTCCCAACGAATATTATCTCACGTGCAATTAATATATTACTTCTCCTTAGCTATCGCATACGATGTGCAATCAACGAGAAGAAGAAATATTTGGTTCATGCAAAATTGATCGAAGCAGTGCTGTTACATCGAAGAGTCATAGAGTTGGTATTTTCTTTCAGACTCGATAGAATCCTTGAGAATCGTTCGCACAATTACATTGCCTTTGTTCAATGGAAAATAACATTTCAATTACATTTACCATAACAGACTTGAAATGTTAATGCCAACGTAAACACTTTTATAATTATTAATTCTAAAAGGTTTATCGATATCGCAAACATGTCCTTCGCGGCGTCTTATTTTGTTCTACTTATACTTGGTTTATTTTCGATAACCATAAATCTATATAACGTGAGTACTTCTTATATTTGTTAATTTTGTATATCACTACTGATCGCCACGTTTCTCCACTAGATACAACCAAAATAAACAGCACCTCTCATTTCTTTTTTTTTTAATGAGAAATTTTTTAGAGAGGATCGATAAAATTAATATTACATTTAAAAAATTTAATATCAATTTAATCTAGAAGAGATAAATTCGCTTATTCATTTCCATTTAGCTTCTTCAAGCTGTATTAGTGATGCAGAATGTCACGGATGTTTTGGAGCCAGCTGTGCATTTGGGTTTTGTGTTTTTCTACGTATCGATAAGCAACTATCTGGGACAAATGTTGATCGATCATAGTTCCAACATTTTCACAGAAACGTGCGTCACGAAAACCTAAAATTTTTACGTTTTTTCACTCTTAACACTTTACCGACCGATAGCCTATTAATCGACTGTTTTACCGGCGGTTACCGACCGATACCCGATTAATCAACTGTTTTATCGGTCGGTAAAGTGTTAAAAAATTCAAAAGGAATCCATTATACGATGGATTTAAGCTGTATGTTTAATTTATACCAATTTTACAGATACGACACGCAATGGTACGTAATGCCTTTGCCCGCACAAAAGTTAATTATTTTAATTATGCGGAGAAGCATGAATCATTGCACAATCAAACTCGGGAAAGTCTACACGGCCTCATATGAAGGCTTTTCCAGGGTAATGCTTGTAAACAAAAAACATAGTCTGAATCTGACCGATCGTTCGCGATTAATTAACGTTTATTTTCAGATATGTAACATATTGGTGACCTATCTATTGTTTCTCTGTTCGTTGCAACAATAAATGTCGTCGTTTGTAATAAAAAAATTCTACTCGAAATTCTCGGCTAGAGTTTTATAGCAATAAACACATGAGCATGAAACACATGTTGATATTTTTAAAGAAATAAGAAAACCATTTCTGTCAAATATCAACGCCATAACCTTAATGGGGGGGTTAGTTACAGGGCGTAACGCAATTTTCAAGTTTAAGCCGTATATCTTTTCTCGTATCGTGCCAAAGATTTCGAAAAAAATTGGGGCTATTTTGCTCCACGGTGTACGTGTTCGTGAATTTTTTCAGAATTTTTCACCGCGGAATGGATTTTTAAAAAATTCGAAAAGTATAAAAATATTTTTTTTTGATAGTTATTATTAAATGAGCACGTTTATATTTTTACAGTGTTAGTGTTTTAGTATGATTGTTGATCTGTAATTTTTTCAGATTTTTAGAAATGGGGGAACGGGGTTGGAAAAATCAAAAACCGACATTCGCTTGTATTTTTACCTTTATTTTTGTTGGTAGCAGTGTAAAAGTATAAAAGTGGTCATTTAATAATTTCTGTTGAAAAAAAATATTTTTATACTTTGTTTGCAAAGTCTCTTTGCAAAAAGAATGCAACTTGTGAGGTCGAACGACAATGAACAGGTGAAATAGAGAGAACGCCACCCACCTGTGGCGCCAGTGGCCATGAAAACAAACATTATGTTTCCATAACTATGGGAAACGGTCATCTGTTTCCCATCGACCATATTCGAACGCAGAGATAGGGTTAATGGTTCTGTAAAAGCAAGAAGTTGCGTTTATGGAAGAACGTGTAATTTGTGGTCCTGGGAAAAACATTGTAACCTGGCGAACCGATCGATGAACATAACCTGCAATCATAGCGCCCTCTGTAGACATTGTTTCCAATTACGTTGACCCTCGGTTTTTGCTGCTACATTACAGTTCATTATTTTTTCAGATGACTAGGCTAGACAACGTCTGGAGGTCTGACTAAATGTCGCGCCAGACATGTTTTAATATCCAAACAACAATGGACGATTTGAACAAAAGAGCAAAGTTCTTTTGTCGTTCGTTGGATTATGATTAAAAGAGTATTTTCCCTGCTGATGCTTACCTCCTCTATGTATACTGTTGCAATTAAAATATAGTAGCTAGAAAATTGTAGCATAACAGGGAATAGGTCTATGCAATATATGTTTTATTTATAAATAATTGAAAACTCTATATTGAATAAGATTATTATAGTGTGGTCTTTAACGAACGATTTTCCAATCGAATGGTTGTTGCAAACGTGTTAACGTTTATTAGTATTAGATCAGATTATTAAGAAGCTTCCGGGTGCACCGGATGTTCGATCTTGTAACACCATTAGATTTGTATTAGATACCATAAAAAGTAGATTTCACTAACGATTAGAAAGATAGTTACAATGAAGTAAATAACTAATAATCTTAGTACCAATATCGACGAGGTATACTCATCGGTGATTATGCGACCTATTTTCGTAATATTAGAGGTTATGTTTACCTAACTTCGTACAGAAAGATAGTTACAATGAAGTAAATAACTAATAATCTTAGTACCAATATCGACGAGGTATAGTCATCGGTGATTATGCGACCTATTTTCGTAATATTAGAGGTTATGTTTACCTAACTTCGTACCTCATTTAAAAAATTAGATATTTTTATTTTATAAAATCAATTAACCTAAAAAACTGTATTTTTTTGTATCTTTATGATAATCCTTAAATATTGAATAAGAACAAGGATGTCGGTATCAGTTGGTAAGAATTATTTTATTTGCTATATTTAGTAAAAGACAGATTTGAAAATTTCGTGTAGATTTACTTCTTTTCATAGATTCTGTCACATATCTCGTTATTGTGGCAATCTTATGGGGCATAACGAACCCATTCATAAAAAAAGGAGCGCAAGGTCTAGAAAATGTAAAATCTTCTTCCAGATTTGGTCAATTTTTTAAGGAGCTTGCATTCCTTCTAACGACATTAAAGGTTTCATTTAGAGTTCTATATGTTATCTATTAAATATATAATTCTAATATGTTTTCATTTGTCTAGTACCTTGTACCGTTTATTATCAATCAAAGCGGTTCTGTCTTGTACTTCTTAACTCTGAGCAGTACGGATATATCATTGGCTGTTCCGGTTACTAATTCTCTTACCTTTGTGATAACTGCGATAACAGGTTGGATCTTGGGCGAAGAGAAAATACATAGAAGTAAGGAATATTATTTACTATCCTCTTATATTCATTACGGTAGTATTGTAGAGGTTATATGAATTATTCTAATTTTCAGATACATATATCGGGATGTCAATGGTGTTGATCGGAACAGTTCTTTGCTGTTGGGATAAGATAGGCGAAACTGTATGATTTTAAACTCGGTTAGTATATTACTCCAATTGTGTCATTTTATTGAATATATATATGTATATAAAATTGAAACTTGGTAATATTCTCACACGATAGTGAGATAAGAATGTACATATTGTTATGATTTAATTACAGAAATGAAAAATACAATTTTTATTTAACGTTAAGTACTATCATAGACGAGGTATACGAGTAGACCTTCCACCTAATGTATTTTCTCGTTTCTTTGGGGGTTTCGAGACCAAATTACCATTTTCGTGTCACTCGCAACGTTACCGACAGAGTCAGAAATGAATTTTAATCTATTCTACAGCTGTTTGCCTATCGATGCTAATTCAGTGAATAGTTTCTCATCTGAGAAACCGCCATCCTTCTGAAGAGGGCGCTAAAATCAGCTTCGAATTTTCAGGTCGGTATGGCCTCGTCCGTGGTTACATAAGAAAAACTTATCATCAGATAATATGCTCTAATTATTCAGAGATATTCAGCTGGATTGATTTAAATGGAACACTCTGTACAAAGTATATCAAAGTTTTCTTTTTTTTTTTTATTCGTTTAAAGTCGCATCAACCGCTAAGGGTTATTAGCGACTCGGAGAATACATTTTTAGAGTTTGTTGTACAATTTGGTCATTTTTAGGTACTGTAACAGATTTTGGGTCGATGTGTTGTCCTTTAGGGTTGGTTTTATGTTGTACAGCGTCTCAGTGGAAATAATTCTATCTAGTTATCCTGTGCTTATGATTTTTTTACGCTGAGAATATCTGTGTCCCTACTTAACTTCCTTATTTGGTCGACAGGTGGCGCTGCGTGTCTTTCTGGTAACTAGCGACCCCTAGCAAACTTTGGTGAATTATATTATAATAGTTGTGATAGAAGACTTAGAAACATCTCTTCCGATACATCTTTTATAATAATAATAATAATAAACACGTGAACCAATTGCTCCGAGGAAAGTAGAGAGGTTAACGTTTGTCGCGTTGGTAAGTGTGAATGCGTGCGTTCTCGGTAACTTGTAGCACGTGTCGCATTACTGACGTGTCATGTTAATGAAACAATATATCATCGTGTTTCCTGTTCTTTGCATAGCGAAACCGTTTGTCCGACTGCACGTGACAGGTGGTTCCTATCGGCGGATACAAACAAATTCACGATCAAAACGTAGATTTGTTCGCGACGTATGCGTATATACCGATACGGTAAACGTATCGATCGTTGATATTTATATCGCCGATACGGAAAATCATTAATTCAGTTTTATCTGTAACTGTAGCGCGGCGAAGTTGCCGATGATACTCCTCATCATAGATTTTGTTTATTTTTAAATATGTTATAAATAACGATCTACTTTTCTAATGATAGATGGTCATCCTTCGTTTTTTCCAAAATCAGTCATATTTAAAATTAAAGTCATATTTCCAAAAATTTAACTGAAACCTGATCAGTTAAAATTACTAGGCGCAAAAAAAAATTACCAAACAATCCAAAGTTACCAGATTAGTTACCAGGTGTCTTAAATAATTTTTGACAAGTTTTAATTTATTGAAACTTCTTTATATTTGTTGGTATTGTTAATAATAACCGAAGAGTTAGCTAGAGGAGATTCTAGAGGCCAAAATAAAACGAAAATCAAGAATATTAATTTTTTGATTGAGGCTTCGTTAAAAAATTATTACAAAATTTTGAATCATTCTGGAAAAATTATTTTTGGTTTTGGGGCTCAATTGCAATCATTTTTGGTCATTAGACTTAATCCCGAAATCCTACCCGTTTTCTAGAAAAAAATTCGAGAAAATGTAATTTTTGGATGGAAAAAAAAAATTTCAAATCGTTTTGGAAAAATTATTTTCGGTTGCGAGGGTCAATTACAATCATTTTTGGTCATTAGACATATCCTCGAAATCTTACCCGTTTTCTAGAAAAAAATTCGAGAAAATATAACATTTTTCGACGGAAAAAAAAAATTTCAAATCGTTCTGGAAAAATTATTTTCGGTTTTGGGGGTTAATTACAATCATTTTTGGTCATTAGATATAACCTTGAAATCCTACCCGTTTTCGAGAAAAAAATTCGAGAAGAATTTTTCGACAAAATTAAAAAATTTCGAATCCTTCTGGAAAAATTGTTTTCGGTTTCAGTATCGTTGTAACGATACATTTGGTGCTAATTTTCACGTAATGCTATTCCAAAACCGATTTCCAAGCTCTTGCCTTCCTTCCTTTGAGCTCACCGACGACCTTCGAACAGTTTCAAGGTCGTCGAGGGAAAATTGCTGTTTAAACAGTTCGTCTATAACCAGATTCTATTTCCAAGGCACGTTCGAAGTTTGCACTGCGAGATTACACGAAGTCAATAGCTAATCTTGAAATAGATATCAACCATTCCTACAAGAAGGTTCGGACTAATCAATATCTAGCTTCTCACCTGTTTGAATATCTCAAAATCATCATCGATTCATGAAACAAGACTTAAAATATAATACTGTAATTCCACATTATTTACTATACAAATATGATTTTTCTCGTGTAACAAAATATACAGAATGTTCAGCTACCTCTAGGAAAAATTTTAATGACAGATTCTAGAGGCCAAAATACGACGAAAATCAAGAATAATAATTTCTTAATGGAGGCTTCGTTAAAAAGTTATTAACGTTTAAAGTACCGCCAGTTTTGAATTTTTTTCTCGAAATTGGGTAGGATTTCGAGGGTATGTCTAATGACCAAAAATAATTGTAATTGACCCCTGTAACTGAAAATAATTTTTCCAAATCGAATTGCAATTTTTTTTTTCCGGTCGAAAAATTTCATATCTTCTCGAATTTTTTTCTCGAAATTGGGTAGGATTTCGAGGGTATGTCTAATGACCAAAAATAATTGTAATTAACCCCTGTAACTGAAAATAATTTTTCCAAAATGATTTGCAATTTTTTTTTTCCGTCGAAAAATTTCATATCTTCTAGAATTTTTTTCTCGAAAATGGGTAGGATTTCGAGGATATGTGTAAAGACAAAACATGATTGTAATTGACCCTCGCAACTGAAAATAATTTTTCCAAAATGATTTGCAATTTTTTTTTTCCGTCGAAAAATTTCATATCTTCTCGAATTTTTTTCTCGAAAACGGGTAGGATTTCGGTGGTAGGTCTATTCATAAAAAATGATTGTAATTAACCCTCGAAAGTGAAAATAATTTTTCCAAAATGATTTGCAATTTTTTTTTCCCGTCGAAAAATTTCATATCTTCTAGAATTTTTTCCTCGAAAGGGGGTAGGAATTCGGGGATATGTCTATTCACCAAAAATTATTGTAATTAACCCCTACAAATAAAAATAATTTTTTTAGAACGATTTGAAATGTTTTAATTTTGTCGAAAAATTTCATACATTCTCGAATTTTTTTCTCAAAAGTGGGTAGGATTTCGAGGGTATGTGTAATAACCAAAAATGATTGTAATTGACCCCCACAACTAAAAACAATTTTTCCAGAATGATTTGAAATTTTTTAATTTAATTTTTTAATAACTTTTTAACAAAGCCTCCATCAACAAATTCTTGATTTTCGTCTTATTTTGGCCTCTAGAATCCCCCATTATAATTTTAGAAGTATAAATATTCCCCATAATAAAGCTAAGAATAACTTACTTATAAAAAAAAAAAAATATTTCAATTTTAGACGCAGACAATTTATTTCAACAGAAAAGTTGTCGTCGAATGAGTGACGGTTTCCGGTACTCTGACAGAAATTTTTCGTAATTTTTTAAACGTATCTTGCACGTCCAGTTCTAAGTTTTACACGTTAAACCCGAGCTGACCGATGTTTGAGTTACGATATTTGATCGCGGACCGAATGTTTAGCCATGAGTAATGTCAGCATTCTTGACGGTATCCCGATATCTATAGCAGTATCTCGAAACAGGTGTCCGATACCAGAAGCAGCACATCTTTTGCATGATTTAGTCGTCCATCAGGCGCGAGACGTATTACACCGAGCCCGGCGCGCCACGAGTTTCCTTTAATTTTGTTCCTCGCGGTCTCTTGTCAATGTCAGTACGATTAAAGGGATGGAAATATGAATCCGTCAAAATGGAGTCTCGTTTCGATGGCGATGGTGAGTAAAAAATCGATAACACGATCGATACACTTCCGCTATCCAGAGCTTTTTCGTTGTTTCTTTTACCGTGGAGCATAATTTAAAATTTCATTGTTTAAGTAACTATTTTAAAATAATTTTTTAAATTAAAATATTCCTTCGTCCAATTGCAGTGTAGAATTAAAAAAATATATTGACTCGATTCGATTCGTGAAGCTTCTATTTGTCAACTTCACTTTTAACACTTTACCGATCGGTAACGATTGACCCTAGATTATATATCTACTTTAAATGAAACTTTGTGACAGTGGTTACTATATTATTCTCTTTCTGTTATTACAGGGCAATCAAATCTAGTGATATTTTTTATTTTCATGAGAATCGATTGATAAGCTACCGGTCGGTAAAGTGTCGAGCGGCAGAAAACTGATTTATCGGCTATCGGTCGGTAAAGCGTCAATCTGTAAAAAACTGATTTATCGGCTATCGGTCGGTAAAGCGTTAATCTGTAAAAAGTCGATTAATAGGCTACCGGTCGGTAAAGTGTTAAAGGGGGAGTCTCATGTGAACGACAGGAAAATTGAACCATTTTTCGTAATTTTTTTAAAGGAAATGTTACATCTTACGTTAAGATTCTTTTTTTACAGTTTACTTAGCTATCCTTTATAAATATTAATAAAGGACGACAACATTAAAAAAGTATATTGACTCGATTCGATTCGTGAAGCTTTTATTCGTCAACTTCCCTCTTAACCCATTATAAGCTTGTGTCCCATCTATGGTACACTGAGTATTTTATTTTTTTTCAATCCCTAAAATTGGTTCAAATTAAATGAAAAATTTACCACATATATTTTAGGGTGTATTAAACTAAATTATAATTATCGTTGTATTACATTGCCAATATTTTTTTAATAAGAAAATTGTAAACATTGCATAAATTTCTTTGCCCCCAATTGTACAAGGTGTTCGGCCACCCCTGGGAAAAATTTTAATGGGGGATTCTAGAGGTCAAAATAAGACGAAAATCAAGAATACCAATTTGTTGATGGAGGTTTCGTTAAAAAGTTATTAACATTTAAAGTTCTGCCAGTACTGAATTTTTTTCTCGAAAATGCGCAGGTTTTCGGGGGTGTGTCTATTCACAAAAAATGATTGTAATTGACCCCCTTAGCTAGAAATAATTTTTTCAGAACGATTTGAAATTTTTTTTTCGTCGATAAATTTAGGCACCTACCCCCGGTCGATTTTTCTTAAAAATTTGTTTTTCATTTTTAATAAATTTGTTCGACCTCCTACAGAAAAAATGTCTAATACTTTTTTATAGGTACCCATGAGCTCTACTTCAGAAAAAAGTTTCATTGAAATATGTTCACTATTGGAGGAGTTATGGCCGTTTGAAAATTGTACCTATTTTATGGGGTTTTTCTAACTTTACGGGGTCAAGGAACAACTTTTTCAATATTGTTAGAATTTCTACGTATTCTCCATTAAAATACACGTTGTTTGAATTTTGAAAAATTAAAATCCTCCAATCCGTTCAGGAGTTATGACATTTTAAAGATTCGCATGAAATTTCAAGGAAGCCTCACATTAGATTTTCGGGTAAAGAATTTTTTTCTCGAAAATGAGTAGAATTTCGGGGGTAGGTATATTCACCTAAAATGCTTGTAATTGACCCCTGTAACTAAATATAATTTTTTTAGTATGATTTGGAATTGTTTAATTTCGTCCAAAAATTTCAGTACCTTCTCGAATTTTTTTCTCGTAAATGGTTAGGAATTCGCGGGTATGACTATTCACCAAAAATGATTGTAATTAGCTCCTCCAATGGAAAATAATTTTTCCAGAACGATTCGAAAGTTTTCAATTTTGTCAAAAAATTTGTCGACTTACTGAATTTTTTTCTCGAAAATGGTTAGGATTTCGGGGTTAGGTCTATTCACCTAAAATGCTTGTAATTGATCTTTGTAACTAAATATAATTTTTTTAGTATTATTTAAAATTGTTTAATTTCGTCCAAAAATTTCAGTACCTTCTCGAATTTTTTTCTCAAAAGTGGATAGAATTTCAGTTATAAGTCTATCCACCTAAAATGTTTGTAATCGACCCCTGTAACTAAATATAATTTTTTTAGTACAATTTGAAATTGTTTAATTTCGCCTAAAAATCTTTATAAAAAAGTTATGTGAAATTTTGAAATTTGAAAATGTATAATTTGGTCGTAAATGGGTTAACTTTGCCCCGGTGTCACCAAAATTCTTCCCGCAGCTCTCCCTAATCGCCACATGTGCCTCGAACCACACACGTCAACAGAAACGTCACGTTCCGGTGGTGCAGGCGTACCAATCACCCGGCATACCACCTTACTGGGAGCACATACTCCGCGAGTTCGTGTTCAAGACTGTCTCGCCGCCGCCTCCGGGCAACAACGGCCTCTACAAGCGTCTCCTGGACGCGCCTCTTTACACTGGTCCGTTCCCCATCGTCAGAAACGACGTCGATAGCGTCGTTCTGTCGCGTGGAGACGTCCATCACCTACCAAACGACCATTGGCTGCTCTGCCAGGAAGGATGCATCGACTGTCAGCCCTGTATCGAGCACACTCATCCCACGGCCAAGTGGATCCTACGGAGGATCAAGAGACTCCCTCCCCATGGACCAACGCGACACGATCTTCAGCTGACGATAATCCCTCAGATGGACGGTAGCTACCACATGAGCAATCTTTGGCCACGCTCCTACGTCTACGTGACCACTCAGGCCGAAGAAACTGCGTTCTCCAGCGACAGTCCAGGTCACCAAGATGCTGGAAACCAGGATAGTTTCCCTGGAAAGCAACAGAAGAACGATAGTTCCTGGAAATTCGAGGAACAGAGCACCTCTACCATTGCTCCACAGCCTTTCGACGGCGATTCTGGGCAGAATGGTAACGCAACCGAGCAGACAGAGAAGACTACAGGCAAATCGAATCCTCAAGTCAAGTCTCCTGACATCATGGCGCCTATCGTTTCTACAGAGAATGCTAGGAACAAGTTGAAGCAATTGCTACCGAAACTGATCCTTGGAACTGATCAATTAGGCCAGAAGCACTTGGTGCACGTGGTGCCTGCAGATGGTTCGAATAATGCGAGTGTAAATGGTTCTGTTTTACTGAATCCTCTCCAGTATCAGAACAGGACTGCCTATCAGCGAATGTTGCGCAGGATCTATGATTCTCTGAGCAGCAACAAGCGATCCATCGAGAGTTTTCTCGAGCAAACAGGTAATTTGAAAGCGTAGAATTGTTTTTGCTTGGATGAAGGATTTGATACGAATTTGTCTGTTTTTTTTTTAGGGAAAATGAACCGACAAATGGAGGAGCATCAGCAGCAGGAAACGAGGAATGGTCTTGCAGGTTTAGGGCAATTGCATCGAGATTATAGTGAAAAAATTGGGAATTTAAGTTCTAAGTACAAGCATTGGCCTCTAGTTTTGAATTTAGGTAGACAAAGAACGTCCAGGAATGACACAAATAGTGATAGATTGCTGAGCAATTCGATCAGCATTAATCATACCGATAATAGTGATGATTTGCACTCTGATGAGAATAGAAACGCGAGCAAAATCATTTCTGATCGACTGAATTTGAAATCAGCTCGTAATTATCACGGTGGGGATGCTTTTTTTAATAATAGTGGGAAAATTAATGAACAGGAGCATAAATTTGGGCCTCGAAAGTTCAAAATTGTCGTTACCACTGAATCGACGACGAAATCTGCGGACAAGATGGACGCCATTGCGAATGACAGCGAAAGCTTTGTGGAGAAGAGCAAGCTGAATGGTGTTTTGTTGAATAATGGTTAAAATTGAATGTAATTTGGTTTATAAAATGTAATAATTTCGTAGATTTTTGTACCTAAGATTTTTGTACCTGTAAAAGACATCGATTTTTGAATGTATAGTGAAATTTAAGAGTAGTCTCAACTTTTATATGAAATTAGGTTTGGTATATGCAGTTTGGTAAGGAAATGGAAAAGTCGTTAATTTTAATTTTATTTTCTGATTATGGATAATTAGTTATTGTAACTTGGGAATGTTGGAACTTGCATAAACACATAAATGCATAAATGCAACTTGCATAAACACACAAATGCATAAATGCAACTTGCATAAACACATAAATGCATAAATGCAACTTGCATAAACACATAAGTGCATAAATGCAACTTGCATAAATGCAATAGTAAATTGTAGGAACTTGTGAAATTCTATTTTAATATGATATCTTAAAAGTTTCATGTTTTTTATTTATATGACAAGGTGAGTTGGTTTTTTTAGAATAATTAATTAAAGAATGAACAGTTAATGTTGGTTTGTATCAAACATATTTGTTAAAATCATTTTTTATTAGACAATTTATTGGATATATTTAGTGATTTAGTATAGGGGAAAAGTAGGGTTAGTTTGTTTCTGTATTTGGGGAATTTTTCTTTTAATTCCCTTTTTATGAGGGAAAGGTTCGTTAAGAGAATTTTAACGTTGTTTTTGTGTATTTTCAAACACTAAATTAATATATTGTAGGAACTTGTGAAATTCTATTTTAATATGGCATTCTAAAAGTTTCATATTCATTATTTATATGATGAGATGCATTGTTTTTTTTAGAATAATTAATTAAAGAATGAACAGTTAATGTTTGTTTGTTTCAAACATATTTGTTAAAATCATTTTTTATTTTTATTTACAGAATTTATTGGATATATACATGTGTATAGTGATTTAGTATAGGGGAAAAGTAGGGTTAGTTTGTTTCTGTATTTGGGGAATACCCTTTTCTTTTAATTCCCTTTTTATGAGGGAAAGGTTTGTTGAGAGAATTTTAACGTTGTTTTTGTGTATTTTCAAACACTAAATTGATATATTTAGTAGGATAGATGTGTTTCAAGAGATTTAAGTATTCAAGCTTTTAAATTTTCTAGTTCTTTTTTATTCGAAAGATTTAAGTATTCAAGCTTTTAAATTTTCTAGTTCTTTTTTATTCAAGAGCAACAAATATTCAAGCTTTTAAATTTTCTAGTTCTTTTTTATTCAAGAACTCCAAGTATTCAAGCTTTTAAATTGTCTAGTTCTTTTTATTGGAGAGATTTAAGTATTCAAGCTTTTAAATTGTCTAGTTCTTTTTTATTAGAGAGATTTAAGTATTCAAGCTTTTAAATTTTCTAGTTCCTTTTTATTCGAGAGATTTGAGTATTCAAGCTTTTAAATTTTCTAGTTCTTTTTTATTCGAGAGCAACAAATATTCAAGCTTTTAAATTATCTAGTTTGTTTTTATTCGAGAGCTCCAAGTATTCAAGCTTTTAAATTTTCTAGTTCTTTTTTATTCGAGAGATCTAAGTATTCAAGCTTTTAAATTTTCTAGTTCTTTTTTATTTGAGAGATTTAAGTATTCAAGCTTTTAAATTTTCTAGTTCTTTTTTATTCGAGAGCAACAAATATTCAAGCTTTTAAATTTTCTAGTTTGTTTTTATTCAAGAGATTTAAGTATTCAAGCTTCTAAATTTTCTAGTTCTTTTTTATTAAAGAGCAACAAATATTCAAGCTTTTAAATTTTCTAGTTCTTTTTTATTAAAGAGCAACAAATATTCAAGCTTTTAAATTTTCTAGTTCTTTTTTATTCAAGAGCTCCAAGTATTCAAGCTTTTAAATTGTCTAGTTCTTTTTTATTGGAGAGATTTAAGTATTCAAGCTTTTAAATTTTCTAGTTCTTTTTTATTCAAGAGCAACAAATATTCAAGCTTTTAAATTTTCTAGTTCTTTTTTATTCGAGAGATCTAAGTATTCAAGCTTTTAAATTTTCTAGTTCTTTTTTATTCGAGAGATTTGAGTATTCAAGCTTTTAAATTTTCTAGTTCTTTTTTATTCAAGAGCAACAAATATTCAAGCTTTTAAATTTTCTAGTTCTTTTTATTCAAGAACTCCAAGTATTCAAGCTTTTAAATTGTCTAGTTCTTTTTTATTGGAGAGATTTAAGTATTCAAGCTTTTAAATTGTCTAGTTCTTTTTTATTAGAGAGATTTAAGTATTCAAGCTTTTAAATTTTCTAGTTCTTTTTTATTCGAGAGCAACAAATATTCAAGCTTTTAAATTTTCTAGTTTGTTTTTATTCAAGAGATTTAAGTATTCAAGCTTCTAAATTTTCTAGTTCTTTTTTATTAAAGAGCAACAAATATTCAAGCTTTTAAATTTTCTAGTTCTTTTTTATTAAAGAGCAACAAATATTCAAGCTTTTAAATTTTCTAGTTCTTTTTTATTCAAGAGCTCCAAGTATTCAAGCTTTTAAATTGTCTAGTTCTTTTTTATTGGAGAGATTTAAGTATTCAAGCTTTTAAATTTTCTAGTTCTTTTTTATTCAAGAGCAACAAATATTCAAGCTTTTAAATTTTCTAGTTCTTTTTTATTCAAGAACTCCAAGTATTCAAGCTTTTAAATTGTCTAGTTCTTTTTTATTGGAGAGATTTAAGTATTCAAGCTTTTAAATTGTCTAGTTCTTTTTTATTAGAGAGATTTAAGTATTCAAGCTTTTAAATTTTCTAGTTCTTTTTTATTCGAGAGCAACAAATATTCAAGCTTTTAAATTTTCTAGTTTGTTTTTATTCAAGAGATTTAAGTATTCAAGCTTCTAAATTTTCTAGTTCTTTTTTATTAAAGAGCAACAAATATTCAAGCTTTTAAATTTTCTAGTTCTTTTTTATTAAAGAGCAACAAATATTCAAGCTTTTAAATTTTCTAGTTCTTTTTTATTCAAGAGCTCCAAGTATTCAAGCTTTTAAATTGTCTAGTTCTTTTTTATTGGAGAGATTTAAGTATTCAAGCTTTTAAATTGTCTAGTTCTTTTTTATTAGAGAGATTTAAGTATTCAAGCTTTTAAATTTTCTAGTTCTTTTTTATTCGAGAGCAACAAATATTCAAGCTTTTAAATTTTCTAGTTTGTTTTTATTCAAGAGATTTAAGTATTCAAGCTTCTAAATTTTCTAGTTCTTTTTTATTAAAGAGCAACAAATATTCAAGCTTTTAAATTTTCTAGTTCTTTTTTATTAAAGAGCAACAAATATTCAAGCTTTTAAATTTTCTAGTTCTTTTTTATTCAAGAGCTCCAAGTATTCAAGCTTTTAAATTGTCTAGTTCTTTTTTATTGGAGAGATTTAAGTATTCAAGCTTTTAAATTTTCTAGTTCTTTTTTATTCGAGAGCAACAAATATTCAAGCTTTTAAATTTTCTAGTTTGTTTTTATTCAAGAGATTTAAGTATTCAAGCTTCTAAATTTTCTAGTTCTTTTTTATTAAAGAGCAACAAATATTCAAGCTTTTAAATTTTCTAGTTCT